AATGCGGGCTCGCCCGACCTCTCCGCCCCGGCCGAGTTCGGGGAAAATGCAGCCCGGGGTGGCAGGACTCGGGTCCTCCCGCCTCGGTACACCGACTCCTCGGTCCCTCCAGCGCAGTCCAAAGGAAGGGGACACCGGGGCTTAGGACTGGACTTTGGGAGGAAGGTTGCATAGAGATTCGGTCAGTGCACCTGCCCACGTCCCCAGTATCATTTTAACACAACTCCTCCATCCCCCGGTTCAATTCTCTAATTCTCCCTTCCTGCTGCTCTTCCGCCAGAAGGAAGAGACTACATTGTTCTGTGGAGTATGTAACAGAATGTAATTACGGGAGAAAAGGATTGAGAAGGGGCCGTAGAGCCCGATCGGTCTCAGAGTGAAGGTCTTGAGTGCTGGAAGCCTGGCAGTCCCCACCAAAAAGAGAGACGAGGGAGGAGGAGAGAGGAAAATGTGGGGGATGGGAAGAAGGGAAGGAAAAAATAAAATCCAGACAGTCCTGTGAAGTATAGATTTTATCCATTGGTTCCAGAAACACTTGCAAGCCTCAGGAAGCATTGGAACCCAGAGGTTTGCTAGCTAGCGGGTGTGGTCTAAGCCCCAAGTAGCTGCCTTTCAATAGATTGGAAGTCACTGAGTCGGCCCCATTGAGAAAAAATGGTTAAGTGCCTTGGAATTTTACCAGACACAGAAGTTCCCTTTTCAACGTAGTACTTTTCTTGGAAGCTAAATGCTAATAAGCTACTGAAATAGGCGTCAATTTTGCCATTTTAATTTAGCAAGAATTACATCTTCTGGACCAGAGATGTTACAGAAGTAGTTGGATACAACCGCCATGAAAGATGGACTAAAGGAACATTTTAAAAAGAAAAAAAGGGGCTGGGGAGATGGCTCAGTAGGATAAGCGCTTGACCAGCAAACGCAAGGATCTGAGTTCAATCCCCGGTTCCGCAAAAAAAAAAAAAAAGAAAAAGAAAAAAGAAATCGTTTCTTAAAAAGAAAAAAAAGATGGACTGAATGTGAAAGAGCTTCTCTTGTGAAGCAAAATTACCTACTTCTATGTTTTGTACAATGACAAAAAGATTAATCATCTAATGACATATGCAAACATTTAATCAGAAAGTCCATTTTATAACATATTGCAAAATTTAAGCAAAAATTAGCAAATTGCAGAAATTAGAAGGCACTGGGTGTGTGGTTTTTCTGTTTTTGTTTTTGTTTTTTGTAGTGCTGGAAATCAAACCCAGAGGTGTTCACCCCGAGTTACATCCTCTTCCCTGCTTGTTTGTTTAGTGGAATTGATGATTGAGCCTGTGGTCTGCACTGAGCTCCATCCCCAGCCCTTTTATCATTTTATTTATCATTTAAATTTATCAATTTAAAATTCACTAAATTGCCCAGGCTAGGCTCGAA